GATGGGTGTGTGTGATGGGGGCATGGGAGGTGGGGGGGTGTGGTGGAGCAAAAGGGTATATTGGGGGGGTGTTTTTATGTGGCTGGGTTGTGGAGGCAGGGTATGGGTATGAGGGTTGGTTGGTGGGGAGCCCTTCTTCAGACTTCCCCCACAATGCAGCAGGAGGAGGGGACACTGGTGTCTGGCAGTGCATGGCTCCGGTCAGTGCTGCACATCACAGCAAGGAGCGCAGCCCCCACTGGGCTGTCTCTGTCCCCAGGCTGTCTCTATTGCCAGTACTCCCTGCCACACAGGAGGGAAGCTCCAGGCGCTGGACCCAGCTATCTGCTGCCACTTCCTGCCGTTCAGGTCCTGGGAGACCACAGAGAGGTAGAGGCAGGGCTCCTCTCCACTTCCAGTGGAGCCCCCAGGATGTGTGCGGCAGGGATTGAGCCAGCTTCAGCGCCTGGACCTTCCCTCCCATGGTATGTGAGAGTGGGGGCTGTGCATGTGGGCAGGGAGCACCTGCGATAGAGATGGCCCAGCAGGGGCTACACTCCTCATTGCGATGTGCAGCACTGCCGCCAGCCCCACGCTCCATGCTCCCACCCAGCTGCAGCTTCACCCCCACTTCTACCCCCACCCTTCCACTTCCCTACCTGCTGCCTTGATCGAGTGGGATGCCAGGGAAGCTGAGCAGCCCTGCCTGGATGCTGCATGCTTGTCTGGCCCAGCCCTTCTGCCTACAAGGGTGAGAGTGAGGTGCAATAGGGTATGTTGGGGGGGGTGTATAGGTGGGTGCCTCACTCCCACCCTTATGAGCGGAGGGGCTGGGTGGGGTACAATTCATTGGTGGGTGCCACAAGCTGGATGAAAGTGCCTGATGGGCTGAATGCAGCCTGCGGGCCATGTTTTGCCTGCCCCTGGTTTAGATTCTTGCTTCTTGACTTTGACTCCTATCTCTAGTTTCTAACTTTACATCTTTGCTTATTCCAACTCGTAGTTCTGGGCCTACTTCCTGACGTTAGACTTTAATCTGGGTCCTGACTTTTAAGTCGGGTCTTCCTGCCTGGATCTTTTCACCAAGCTGCTCTTTATCTACTGAAGCAGTGCCCTTGACATTTTGCTTAGTATTTGTCCCTAAAAAGTCTGAAGTGACATAGTTCATTTCCTTGGTTCATCTCCTTGGTTAATAATGATTCCCCCATGTATCTTCTAGTGTCACCCCTCAGACTTTTCCAATCTTGCATGTACTTACAGTTCTGGTAGTAACTAGGACACATCTTTGACTAAAATGAACTCGCTGATTTGTCAAAGGGTGAAGATTCTCTCAGTTTTTAGAATCTATAATTGTAACTAGATACTTTTTTTACAAAAATGTTTTTCAAGCAGTGTCTTGTGTTACCTTGTAGCACATACATATTTAGAATTTAAATAAAAAAAAAATGAATAGTGCTTGTTCTCCCTTACTCTTTCCCTCTTTCTATGGGGTTTATGTTTAACTGTTGTGTGTGTTTTTCTGTTTCTGATGCAGCTAGCTTAAGGATGCACAACCATGAAAATAATCCATCTGGGGAAAATTGTTCTCTTAAATGTTGATATAGTACATTTTCAGTAATCTCTTTAAGAGCAAGTGACTCATTGTCACGATCCCTGCCTGTATAACACCATTGTGCTAAGTCACATTCTTTATTGTTCTGCTGTGGAGGTGATTGGGGAAAGAATGGGAGGAGACAGACGGAGAGAAATAGCAAATTGTTGGGTGTTTTTCCTCTTCCTCCTTTTAGACTACTATGTCAAGTTGATTCTAAAGTAGGAAGCTTCTTAATGTCTCTAAAATGATTGCAAGCCAGAGCCAGCTGGTTAATGTGAAACTACAATTGACAAATAATGCTAGCAGTACTGTTGTTAATTAATTATTTCTCCATAGAAGGAAAATTGCAAGTTCCTCATTCCTCATTTTAGCCAAGAATAAATTTACCTTTAAATATAATAAAATACAAAATGATTCAAGCTAATTTCTTTAATTTCAAATATATAAATAAAAGGTAGGGGTGCACTGATATCCATGGCCAATTTTTAACAAGCCATATCAGCCAATACTGATCTGATTCCAATACGCAGTCCTGCAGCATGGAGAGCAGCATCTGGCTGGTAAGTCTGTTGTGGGGGAAGTAGGGAGGAAAGGGGCATGGAGGGGGGGTGCAGATAGAGGTCCCAGCGGTGAGAGGGAGTGGAGCTGGGGCTGGGGCAGGCGCTGCCCAGCCGGGGCAGGGTGGGGCATGGGATGGAGCCGTGGGACATGAGGCAGAGGTGGCAGCTCCTGTGGCTGTGTGCACCCCAAGAGAGCATGGGGGGCATGTGCCCCTGGATCTGTGTGTGGGGCAAGGGTGGGCTGTGGGTTGGGGCAGTGGTGGGCCAGCGGGGGGCTGGGCTGGGCTGTGCTCGGGGCGTGTAGCAGTGGTGCTGGGTGGCGGGCTATGGCGAATTTTGGGGTGGCTGCAACTTCCCCAAATCCCCCTTCCAGTGCTGCCACCGCCTGCCCCAAGTGCAGCGCAGCCCGCCCTGGTCCCAACCAACTGTGGCAGCCTGCCCTGCCCTGCATACAGATCTAGGGGCACACTCCCCCAATGCCCTCTCAGGGTGTGTGCAGCAGCAGGAGTCACACTCCCTGGATGAGCTGCAGCTCCATCCCATGCCCCATCCTGCCCCAGCTGTGCAGTGGCTGCCCCAGCCCTTGCCCTAGCCCCACTCCCTCCCTCACTGCGGGGCCTTGATCTGCCCCTCCCCGTCCCTTCCCCCTTACCAGCCAGACCTGGCTGCCCTCCACACTGTCCAGCTATGCTCCTGGCTTCCTGTGTGCTGTGCTGCTGCTGTGCACATGCATGCAGCCTTTATTGGCCACATCAGAGAAAAAAAGCCCATTGCCGGTACTCTCAATTTTCATTATAGATTTTATAGATTTCATAGACATTAGGGGTTGAAAGGGATCTTGTGAGATTGAGTCCAGCCCCCTGCCATAGGCAGGAAGTCAGCTGGGATCAGGTGATCCCAGCAAGGAAAATATCCAGATGTTTTTTGAGCCCAGAGTAGGTGCTTGCACCACCTCTGGGGGGAATCTGTTCCAGACCCTGGACACTTGCACTGTAAAGAACTTTTTTCATATGTCTAGTCTAAATTGGCCTTCCTGGAAATTATGGCCGTTAGACCTTGTTATCCCTTGGGGAGCTCTGGTAAACAGCTGTTCTCCCAGGTCCCGATGCACCCCTCTTATAATTGTAGGCTGCTACCAAGTGCCCCCCGAACCTTCTCTTTTTCAGACTGAAGAGTCCCAAATTCCTCAGCCTTTCCTCGTACAGCCTGCCGTCCAGGCTGTGGATCATAAGAATGTCTCTCCTCTGGACTCTCTTAAGCTTCTCCACATCCCTCCTGAAGTGGAGAGCCCAAAACTGGATGCAGTACTCCAGCTGCAACCTCACCAAGGCCAAGTGAATGGGAGGATCACATCCCTGGTTTTGCTTGAGATGCATTGATAGATGCACACTAGAGTGTGGTTTGCTTTGCCAGCCACACCATTGCACTGGTGGCTCATATTCATCTTGTGGTTGATCAGGACCCCCAAGTCTCTTTCAGTCGTGGTGCTAGTGAGTGTACTACTGCCAAGCTTGTAAATAAGTTGAAGGTGCCAATCCTATATGGGATCAATGTATCAGTGCACCTCTAATAAAAGGATGTGAGCTTATACGTAGGGCACACTGTTTCCCCTTTTTAATTTAAACTGAGTTTATGCTTTAAGAACCTGCTTTAGAGAAGGATGTGATTGCTGTGTCTTTAAAAATGCTACAATTTTCATTATCTTACACAAATTGGGTATGATTTTTCAGTCTTAACAACCTGCAAAAGACATGCATCAATAAAACAGTAACACTTTTACACTAATAAAAGACATATATGTGCTTAATGCTCGCAGGAGGTGTAGTATTTTGCAAAACTATTTAACATAAAAATTATGCTTATAATTTTCATTTTTCTCTCTGTTCAGTACTGATGTATTAGAGATAGGTTAGGTCGGTGACAAGGGTTAATTTGATATCTGCCAGTACTTTATTTTATCTTGAAATATTTTAGTGTTTTATTTCAGCAGAGTGATGGCATTGACAAAATGTGGGGCCTGTTTCTTGCTGCTTTGGATGCTTTACTTGAGTAAGGACTTTAGGATTAGGACTTTGATTTGTATAAATTTGTAAGTTTCTGCATTCATCAAAATGACAGTATTTAAACTTCACATTAGTGTTGAGACTGACACTGCATTACTGGTAAGGAAAAAATCCATTAAACTGAATCAAAATGCTGTCATTTATGCCTCTAATTATGAAGGGACTAGATTTATATTTAATATTCCTTTTTCACATTTCTTTTTACAAGTGCCATTTGGCTTACTGTGTACTTAGAGAATATCAATAGGTGTTTAGTTGGATAAATGAAGTACAGATCTTTATTTCTGGATTCATGTTTAGAACATCTTTTCATGTAGAAAGGAGAAACAGAAGTGGGTATGATTTTTGATTAGCTAAATCTGTAACAGGCAAATGTATTCAGAGGAGCTCTTGTCTCTTAATAGCACTTCTACTAAAATTGGTCAGATACAGTACATTTTTGGTGGGTAAGAGGTTATCAGCAATATTGCTGCTAGCAATTTTAGGTGTATTAAAAATATAGGTGTAAAGTTTTTTGTTTACAATAACTGCTGCTAATATTACTTTCATACCTTTCCTTTTAAGTGTATTTCCATTCCCTGTAAATAATATTTGCCACCTAGGAACAGACCAAATAAACTGAAATATTGTATGAGAATATTGTTTTAAACCAAGATTCTATAAATAGTTCAGCAGGTTTGGTGTCTAAATTTATAAAATAGTATCTTTTTAAAACTTGCTTTTTTGCATTTCTTTCCTAGGTCTAACTGCAGAGTAGATTCTCTTCATGTGGACCTGCAAGTTAGCCCCAGGACACAACCAGTCTTGAGGACTCTTTGGCATTGGTAGCACTTTGACTGTAAGTTAAATATCTTATTTGGTGAAAAAAACCACTGTGATGTGGGTTTAACTAAGCTGTAAAGTAACCGGAGATAGTTTTGGAGAATTTACCACTTACTGAGATTCTGATTCCTCTTTTCTCAACACTTCAATAGGTGGATTGATTCAAAACACTGATAACTAAGCTAACAATTTGTTAAAAGCTGAAATTAACATTAATGCATTATTGGTGAGAAATCATATAGTAAAAGTAATAATTAATTTAAACACCCATAGGTTCTATGATGTAGGCATGTGTAATTATTGCTAAAATAATAATAAAATAGGGATCTGTTTGTGACCTAAAGATGACACAATCAGACAAACAGGATAGTGTGAATCAGCAAATCTGTCCTAAGAACTAACCTTCCCATGCCCCAGAAATCTTGTTAATGCTGCACTAAGGTAATAAGAAACATCAAATATCCAGGAAATGCAAAAGTTAAGGCTTCAATACCAGTAGTAATGAGGCTGAACTTGCAGGTATGGTTTCTAAATCTCTTCATATAACATTTTTCTTTAGAACGAGTCAAAAAATTATTTCCTACATGTTCTTTCCTTGTGGGGCTTGCAAATACTAGTCTTGATTCGCTGTGTTTTAGAGGTGCACTGATACACCAGTCTGATATTGGATTGACACCAATATAAAGAAAATTGGCTGTATTGGAAATCAGCCTGATGTGGCTGATAACTTGGCTGATAAATGCCCTTGTGTGTGTGCAGCCACTGCACACCACACAGGCAACTCAGAGAGCTGCACGCAGCTGGTAAGTCCATTGTGGTGGAAGGGGAGGGGGAAAGGAAGGGGCATGGGATGCAGATCAACACCCCCCACGGTGAGGGAGGGAGTGGGGCAGGGACTGGACCAGAGGCAGCTGCAGCTGTGTGCAGGAGCCAGGGCTGAACCGGGCTTTTCTTGGCAAGGGGTGGGCTCGGGGCAGGTGAGCAGCGGCACTGGGAAGGGAGGTTGGGTGG